GATGATAAAGACGGTTCCAGGCACTCCTCAGCAGAATGGAGTGGCAGAAAGAATGAACAGAACTTTGAATGAGAGGGCCAGGAGTATGAGGCTTAATGCTGGGCTTCCAAAGACGTTATGGGCTGATGCAGTTAACACTGCAGCTTATCTTATCAACCRAGGAATATCAGTACCGTTGGGCTTCAAGATTCCAGAGGAAGAGTGGAAAGGTAAAGCAATCGAGTATGAGCATTTGAAGGTGTTTGGATGCAGTGCCTATGACTTGAAGAAAGATGGTGACAAGTTGGATGCAAAAGCCAAGAAATACACCTTCATTGGATATGGCTCTGATAGTATGGGYTACAGGCTTTGGGACTTTGAAAGCAGAAAAGTAGTCAGAAGTAAACATGCTACTTTCAATGAGGCTGAACTTTATAAAGACAGAAGCACAGTAAACTCAAAAGATCAGAAAGAACAAGTTGAGTTTGAAAGTGATGACATCATAATCAGAGGGCCAGAAGATACTCATGATAGTGGGAGTACTGAGTTTGATTTTCAGAATAATGATGAGTCTGAAGATGTTCAAGAAGACACTGTCAACAGCGAAAGTTCAGAGGATGAAGAAGAACCATCATCTCCGGTACATCCTCAACCAGTTGAATCACACTGGGTCAGGAGATCCACCAGAGTCTCTAGGCCTCCTGAAAAATACAATCCATCAATCAATTATCTTCTTTTGACTGAGAATGGTGAACCAGAAAGTTATTCTGAAGCTATTAAGCAGAAAGATTCGTTGTAGTGGGAGCGTGCAATGAAAGAAGAAATGGGATCTCTGAACAAGAACAAAACTTGGGTTTTAACCAAGCTTCCGCATGATAAAAAGGCGTTGCAGAACAAGTGGGTTTTCAGAATCAAGGAAGAGCATGATGGATCTAAACGGTACAAAGCCCGTTTAGTGGTCAAGGGTTTTCAACAGAAAAAGGGGATTGATTACAATGAGATCTTTTCTCCGGTGGTGAAAATGACCACCATCAGATTGGTTTTGAGTATTGTAGCTGCAGAGCGCTTACATCTAGAGCAACTAGATGTCAAGACAACATTCCTACATGGTGACCTTGATGAGGAAATTTACATGGCACAACATGAGGGTTTTCAGATTGTTGGTAAAGAAGACTGGGTCTGCAAACTGAAAAGGAGCTTGTATGGTTTGAAACAAGCACCCAGGCAATGGTACCTGAAGTTTGRTAACTTCATGGAGAGGGCCGGGTACAGAAAATGTGAAATGGACCATTGTTGTTATGTGAAGAAATTCAAGAGCTCCTATATCATTCTACTTCTCTATGTAGATGATATGTTGATTGCAGGTGCGGATATGAAGAGATCAGCAAGTTAAAGAAGCAAATGTCTGAAGAATTCGAGATGAAAGACTTGGGTCCAGCCAAACAGATACTCGGTATGAGTATTGCTAGAAACACGAAAGATGGCTCTTTGACACTATCCCAAGAGAAATACATCGGGAAAGTGTTAGAAAGATTCAAGATGAATAATGAGAAGACAAAACCCAGAAACACACCTTTGGGAAGTCATTTCAGGCTTAACAAAGATCATTCTCCAAGATCAGAGGATGAGAAAGCAAATATGGCTAATGTTCCTTATGCATCTGCTATTGGTAGTCTCATGTATGCCATGGTTTGCACGAGACCAGATATAGCCCATGCTGTCGGGGTTGTTAGTTGCTTTATGTCAAATCCAGGGAGAGAACATTGGGAAGCAGTCAAATGGTTGCTCAGATATTTGAAGGGTAATTCAAAGTTGGGATTATGTTTCAAGGGTAAAGACTCAGTTCTTAAAGGATATACTGATGCTGATTTGGGTGGATGCAAAAAGACATTTAAAACCACTACTGGGTATATTTTTACAGTGGGAGGAACAACAGTTAGTTGGATGTCCAGACTTCAGAAAAGTGTGGCCTTATCAACAACAAAAGCTGAATACATGGCAGTTGCTGAAGCCAATAAAGAGCTAGTATGGTTAAAGACTTTTCTTGAAGAACTTGGGAAAAAGCAAGTTGATTACTCGTTACACTGTGACAATGAGAGTGCAGTGAAACTTGCTAAAAATCCAGTCTATCATGGGAAAACAAAGCACATTGGGATGAGGTATCACTTTGTCAGAGGACTGATCAGTGATGGTACGATGAACTTGAAGAATATCTCAGGTGCAAATAATCCAGCAGACATGTTCACCAAGTTTGTGACGCTGGATAAGCTGAAGTTCTGTATGACTTCATCTGGCCTTCAGGAATAATGTTGAGAAGGCAGGTGGCAACTAGGGGAGCTCAAGCTGGGTTGGTGTTTACAGAAGTTCAGAGGAGTGCAGGTGAACGTGTTTCGAAGCCTCCAAGTGGGAGATTGTTGGAATGTAGGCTTCGGCCTACTAAGTTAGACAAAAGGGAGGAGRCATAAAGTAAGGAGCCGGCCCTAGCCCAAAAGGAGCCGGCCCTAGTCTCTGCCCTAGTTTCCTTGATTAGGAGATAACCCTAATTATGTTTGTCTATATATATTAATCTCATTGTACTTGTAAACATT